AAAATGCATTTCCTCAGCATTCTGCTCTTAAGGCTCATGTACACTGCAGCTGATAAACTCACGCTCAGAAGATTTTCTGCATTTTTCTCAGCAGCCCCTGAACTCTCCCTAATGTTTCCTATGTGTCCATGTACACATCGTCGTTTACAGGCAGTTGAGTTTACAGTCGTTTTTTTGAACGCACCAAACTTGCATTCAGGAGTAGATTTTATCAGCGTTTCAAACGCTTCGAAATGCGGCTAACAGCGTTTATAAGCGTTTGCATTTATAAGCGTTTTCTTAACGGTTTCATATCCAGATGCTGTCCAGAGCTTTTTTCCATCATCAGAAATGCATGCCAAGCTTTTCCATGTATTCAAATGGACCCGGTACACCAGCGCAGTCAGTTCCAGGTTTTGTGTGAAGGAAAAAAAAATGGTAGAATGCACCGCATTATGCTCATGATGGGATCCATAGTGAATACAACCAGAAAAGACAGGTCATCTCAACACATACTGCTCTCTCTGCTTCTGCTCTCTTTGCTTCTCTCAAAATGTCTGAAATAGTTAATTTTGTTACTGTTTTTCAGTGCATTCTGGGAATTTTGGAAAGTCTCCTGAGGTTATCTTAAAAAAACAAACAACAAAAAAAAAAAAAACGCTTCTAAACACAAATGCTCATAAACAGACATTTTTAACCTATGTTTTCCAGCAGTCAGTTTCCATCGTTCAGAAGAGCTTTCCAGACGTCCCATATACATGGAGCCTTACAAACCACAATTAGAAATGGGTGCCGCGCCCGATGGATAAAGGGATATCTATTTCTTACAATGGCTGTATATGTTGATAGTACTTGTCAAGACCAATGGTATATTAAATATTATACCTTATATCAATATATAATCAATAGTTGTAAAAATCTTATGCATGATATTAATACTGTATGATAGCAATTCAGCTGCATGCAAAAAAATAAAATAAATTTGAAAAATGTGAATATAACTTATGAAATCATTATAATAAAAATCATAATAGAAATAGTGTCCAAAAAAATATAATAAAAATCCAAAATGGTTTTTGCCTGCTGTTGAAAAAAACACTTTGGACTATTATATTTTTTTGGACACTATTTCTATTAATTATGATTTATTATAATGATTTCATAATTTATATTTCACATTTTTCAAATTTTTTTATTTTTTGCATGCAGCTCAATTGCTATCATATAGTATTAATATCATGCATAAGATTTTTACAACTATTGATTATATATTGATATAAGGTATAATATTTAATATACCATTGGTCTTGACAAGTACTATCAACATATACAGCCATTGTAATAAATACCGTATTTTTCGCTCCATAAGACGCACCTGACCATAAGACGCACCTAGGTTTTAGAGGCAGACTGCGGGCACGGTACAGGAGATGACCAGAGACTGCGGACACAGTACAGGAGATGACCAGAGACTGCGGACACGGTACAGGAGATGACCAGAGACTGCGGACACGGTACAGGAGATGACCAGAGACTGCGGACACGGTACAGGAGATGACCAGAGACTGCGGACACGGTACAGGAGATGACCAGAGACTGCGGACACGGTACAGGAGATGACCAGAGACTGCGGACACGGTACAGGAGATGACCAGAGACTGCGGACACGGTACAGGAGATGACCAGAGACTGCGGACACGGTACAGGAGATGACCAGAGACTGCGGACACGGTACAGGAGATGACCAGAGACTGCGGACACGGTACAGGAGATGACCAGAGACTGCGGACACGGTACAGGAGATGACCAGAGACTGCGGACACGGTACAGGAGATGACCAGAGACTGCGGACACGGTACAGGAGATGACCAGAGACTGCGGACACGGTACAGGAGATGACCAGAGACTGCGGACACGGTACAGGAGATGACCAGAGACTGCGGACACGGTACAGGAGATGACCAGAGACTGCGGACACAGTACAGGAGATGACCAGAGACGACTGCGGACGTTTGGGGGGGGGGGGGGGAGCGGGGTACCTGAATTTGACAGATACCCGCTCTTACTTTCGCGGAGTTGTTCTTTGGTTAGTGTCCGCTCTGCAGTGGGACCTCACCTGTTCCTCTATCCAGCGCCGCGCTGTCTTCCCGGCTTCTGTAGTGTCGGCGCAAGCTTGACAGCCGGGTGCCCAGTGCGCATGAGCGAGAAGCGTTGCGCTTTGTGATTGGTCCGGCGGCTTCTGGGACCTGTCATGTGTCCCAGGTGCCGCCTTACCATTCACAAAGTGCACCGCTTCTCGCTCATGCGCACTGGGCACCCGGCTGTCAAGCCCAGTGCCGACACTACAGAAGCCGGGAAGACAGCGCGGCGCTGGATAGAGGAACAGGTAAGGTCCCGCTGCAGAGCTGAGCGGCCGGCCCTGTATTCTGACACAGCAACGGTGGAAATACCGGACCAGCCGCTCCATAAGACGCACTTGCATTTTCCCCCCTTTTGTGGGGGGGAAAAAATGAGTCTTATGGAGTGGAAAATACAGTAGATATCCATTTATCCACAGGGCGCGGCACCCATTTCTAATTTAGTATTGAACCACACATGCATATGACAATATGATTGGGAGCCTGTGAACATTTCTAAAATAATAATCAACATTCCCGTGGCTCACAAGTAATTTTAGAGCATTTTTATGCCTTACAAAGCAGCTGCGCAGTCTCAGGAAAACATAAGGGTTTCGTGACAAACGGCAATATTTGAAACAATAAGATTTCTGGGGCGAAAGAGCAGGCAAACACTTGGGTCATGATACGAAGAAAACTACAGTGTGGTTTGAAATGAGAACATGTTGGTGTTATTGCAATGTTTGCATGAAAAGGTTTTAGTGGTGAGGCTTTTGTATGTTTTCTTGTGGCTCAATCTTTTCATGATGCCGCTGATTAAATGTATAGTAAAGCCTAACCCTGGGATAAGCAAACATTGTCCAAATACAAGAGGTGTGGGTATTCGGATTTGAATCTTGGTGTGCTTTGTGCATTACTTAAAAATCCATGAAGACATCCAGTGTGCAACTGTCTCTGGGCAGGAGTTTCTTGTAAAAATACTCATCGCAGCTGGTCTCTCATTATGCAGGGTGACTGGTCTGGTCTCCGCCCCCTCCTGTTAGTTCCCTGCAGGCAGTATGTAGTCTATGGACCCACTGGGGTTTATTTACTAAAGCTGGAGAGTCCAAAATCAGACTCCTTTCTGCATAGAAAACCAATCAGCTTCTAACCTCAGCTTGTTCAATGAAGCTTTGGCAATGAAACCTGGAAGCGGATTGGTTTCTATGCAGAAGGGAGTCTGATTTTGCACTCTCCAGCTTTAGTAAATAAACCCCACTGTGTCCCACCCACAACTCTGCTCAAGGTATGACAGCACAGTGAATTGGTCCCTGCTACTTTTACAAGATAACGTGGCCTGTATAGGTAATTAGCAGATATGGTCATTCCCATATTTTCTATGGAGGCCAAACCATGTGCAAGTTCTGTGCCAATGATGACTTGCTGTATCTGCCCAGCACAGCAGGCTCTACTGCAGGGGTGTCAAACTCCATTTCATCGTGGGCCGTATCAGCATTATGGTTGCCCTCAAAGGGCCGGTTGTATCATGATGTCAAGAATCCCACACCCTCCCCAACATCACCATGCACCCCCTTTGGGTGCAGAGCTGCAAAGCAGAAAGTGCAGGGTCTGGAGGAGGACCAGGAGGAGGATTGGAGTCAGTTACCAGAGTCTACTGAACGCTGAGACCAAGGGAGGTAGAGATGAGGTGGTGCTGTAGCTGCACTGAGAAATGTAGGATTTGGCAGAGGAGTTCTATTCTCCTCTCTGTTGCCGACTGCTGAGACAAGGTGGGGGCGGAGACCAGGGGATACCTGCAGGAGAGGTGCAAGGGCCACATGAAATGGCCTGGAGGGCCGGATTCGGCCCGTGGGCCTCGTGTTTGACACCTGTGTTCTACTGAGTTTTAATAGCAGATAGAGTCTATTACACAAATGTCAGATACAAGCCCAGCCAGGCCATTTCATGTGACATCTCTCCTGCAGCAACCCCCACGTTTCCAACCCCCCTTATCTCAGCAGTTGGCAGCAGAGAGGAAGACAGAATAACTCTGCCAGAACCTGGATTTCTCTGCACACACGCAGCAGCATGCAAGATCCCAACCATATGGTCTGGATTTACTCAGATGAATGAACCAGCAGCAACAATCCATGCAGCACCCCTTCATCTCTGCCCCCACCTTGTCTAAGCAATCAGCAGCAGAGAGGAGGACTCCTACACCAGATCTTGTGATTCTCCATGCAGCCCTGGAGAGGCTCATCTCTGAACCCCCCACCCTACTTCTATCTGCAGCCGCAGCACCCCATTGTCTCCACCTGCCCTGGTCTCAGCATTCTGCAGACCCCAGCAGCTGACTCTTGACCTCCCCTGGTCCTCCTCCAGACCCTGCACATTCTGCGTTTCAGCTCCACCCCAACTTCTCCCTGGCAGCAGCACAAGTAAGGGAAGTGTGGGGGACTCTTGACAATTGATGTAATGGGGGAGGGGGCACTGGACATCAAGTCCTAAAGATACAACCAGCCCTTTGAGGGCAACTATATTGCTGATGGGGTCTGCAATGAAATGGAGTTTGATACCCCTGTTCTATTGCAATGATGAACATTTTTCAGCTACTTTTCAATTGGCAGGAAATCTAAATTGGAGCAGCAGAAAAACAGTCCAGGCAGTTGAATTCACATGGTAATGTATCCATAAAATATTTGTCATTTGAGTAAATACTTTGACCAAGGGTGGACCCTGAGACGTAACACGAAGACATCACAGAAGAAACTTTTTTTCTAAACAAAGGTGGGGTCAGCAAACAGGAGGTTTGGCTTTAACTGCATGATGAGATATTCAGATACACCGCAGATCTAATCTTAGCTAAAGGAGTACATGTAAACTGGATGGAATATTAATACTTCCCAACAAAGCAATCACACTCACCCAGCTGAGAGAGGTCCAGCCTCGTCCAATGCATCCCAGTAGGGCAGGTTTTAGAAAGTGTTCGGATAAGCACTCCTCCATGGCCATCAAGTGCCCATACAGCATCCGCACAGGCTGACATGTGGACCATCTCGGTGTCTGGTGGAAGCTGGACGGTGGAAGGTCTGTATGGCGTAGTCAGATCACTCAGACAGAAAAGATCTTTCCTACTCTGAGAAATCCAGAGAACATTTCCTAGAAGACCAAAAAGGAAAACACTGTGAAGATGGTACAGAAACATCACTAGGCATGCACCGATACCTGCTTTTTTTTTTTTTTACGAGTACGGATACTTGTGCTCAAGTACGCGCCGATACCAATTTCCCGCACCACTCCTGTGTGAACCCAGGCTGAAGTCACTATGGCAAGCCTGGGTTCACACAGGGTTGGTGTTGGAAGCCGCATGTAATTTGAACAGGAAATCGCACCGTATTCCGTACCGGTATCGCAGCATTTGCATGAGTACAAGTACTCGTGCAAATGCTTAGTATTGGCACGGATACCCGAATCGGAGCAACCCAAATTATTACATTTGCTGGAGACAAAATGGCCTAGTGTATTGGAATCGTAAATAAGCTATGCCAAGAAAAGTGGGTGTGGTCAAGAGTGACCAATCACACAACAATATTTAGTATTTTAACTCACTTTCAGTCCCAGTGACTGGTTGTTTTTAACTGCCTCCCACCCGCCATATAAAATGATGGGCAGCGGTTCTCTTGTTCTGGGAGAAGGTCATATGACGTCCTCCCACTCTAACTGCGCATGAGCGACCTCGGGGGAGTGTGGGGATTGGTGGTGCGCTGTGTTCCTGGGACACAGAGGATCACCGATCAGAGTAAAGAGCCTATGACATCGGCTCTGGCATGTGATCAGCTGTGTCCAATCACAGCTGATCGCATGTAAATAGGAAATACTGGTTATCGGCAGTCCTCTCTTCACGTTGTTAGCGTGTGAAGAGAGGAGAGATGGTAACTGGCATTCCTCAGAGGGGACATTTACACTGATCATCAGTGCAGCCCCATCAATGCCACCTGTAATTGCCCATCAATGCCACATATCAGTGGCCATCAGAGCTGCCCTTCAGTGCCAACTATCAGTGGCCATCAGAGCTGCCCTTCAGTGCCAACTATCAGTGGCCATCAGAGCTGCCCTTCAGTGCCAACTATCAGTGGCCATCAGAGCTGCCCTTCAGTGCCAACTATCAGTGGCCATCAGAGCTGCCCTTCAGTGCCAACTATCAGTGGCCATCAGAGCTGCCTTTCAGTGCCAACTATCAGTGCCACATGTCAGTGCCAACTATCAGTGCCGCCTCATTCGCACATATCAGTGAAGGAGAAAAATTACTTATTTACAAAATTTTATAAAAAAAATTCTCAAAATTTTCAGTCTTTTTATTTTTTTTTTGTTTTTTTTGCTAAACTAAAACAACACACGAGTAAATACTACCAAAAGAAAGAAAAAAAAAATTATTTTGGGTTCAGAGTGGCATGACCGCGCAATTGTCAAAGTGCGACAGCACTGAAAGCTGAAAATTGGCCTGGGCAGGAAGGGGGTAAAGGTGCCCAGTAGGCGAGGGGTTAAAAGGGTTGCATAAGAAGGAAGTAATTTCCCTGCAATAGAATTACATACAGAGTTGTATTCTGGAGTTGCCTTTTTTTAAGTGTATCTAAAAAGGTCAAAATGTGAAATTTTATATTTCTACATTGTTTTTCCGTTACTTCTAGCCTACTCCAATGAATCAGAATAACCGTGAAGTTATATAAAATGTTTAAAGTTGATACATTTACTTTGTTAATCCCACAAATTTGCTTCCTTGAATTCTGTGACATGCATTCACTACGCCCTAGAATTCACACAGCCTGCCTTCTGAACTACAGAGGTGCTTGGAGTAGGAGTTTCAGGAGGCGGAGTCAGTGCAGGAATCACTGCTTGCTTGCAGGCAGCAAGGTGCCATGGGATATGTAGTCCATAGAAAAACTGAAAAGTAGACAGCAGCGGAGACGCTGCAAAGCCTGCAGGAACCCAGGAAGTTGTGGAAAGAGAAGAAGGCCAGCAGACGGACAGAACTCACAATATTAAAGATTTTTCCAGTAAGCTTATAGTAGATTGTCAAAAATAACGATCATTGTTTTATGGCCATTACAAAGCTGAGGTTATTAAATGAAATTCTATGCTTCGGCCACAAAATTTTCTTTAAAAAGCAGGAGTATGGCCAAAGATATTTTGGCTGTACGTCTCTCGTAGGTCACAGGAGTGCACCGAGTTCTCCAGTCCTGTGACCTGCTTTTAGAAGACAGCAGGCTAAAGCTCACTGTTGGCTGACATCACAGAGCTGGTCCAGGCTCAGAAAGGATCCCACACAGCAAACACTTTTCTCCTGCGCTGGGATTGGACTCAGTAGAACCAATATGAATGTTCTGGAATGTGCACCGCTTGCTGCCCTCAACAGACCGGGTTGTTCCAAATTCACTAAATGCAAATGGGGAAAAAGAGCACAACGACCTAGTGCATTATCGTTTAAAAGTATTTGAGAGAACAAAGTAAGTATCCTACTCACAATGGACATAAAAACACAGGTATATCACACTGAACAAGATGTTTGATCCAATCAGCATCTGAGTCCATACAATGGAACCCTGGATGACCAACTGGCTAACGCGTTTCGAGGACAGCCTCAGATGCTGTTCGGATCAAACATCTTGTTCAGTGTGATAATACACTAGGTTGGTGCGCCCTCTTTTTGTTTTCCCATTCGGAAAGGATCCCAACCATATGGTCTGGATCCACCCAGATACGCAGACCAGCAGCAGCAATCCATTGACAGCCTGAGCCAGCACCTCCCGCCTCCTCCACAGCCCAGCGCTCCAGTGAACGCTGGAGGGGCAGAGCAGAGAGATGGTGACTGACAGTCGCAGCTGTCTCCTCAGAGCAGAGGGGAGAACCGAGTGAGCAGTAGTGTCTGATTACTCAGTTCTCACTGCAGAGCCGGCACGGTACAGATGCAGTATCAGATTGATGCTGCATCCACCTAGGAGAGTATAAAAAGGTTTGTTATTTAAAGTCCATGCTATTAATTATCCTCTAGCTGCACAGACTGAACGTACTTATTGGTTTAAACCAGGGCTTGAAAAAGCCGCTCGCCCAATGCGAGGAGAAATTCCTCTGTGGTGAGCAGAGGTGAAGCATGGAGCGACTGCACCTGCGCTCCAAGCCTCATTGTGAAGCCGAGTTCCGGTTTAAAACTTCCGGTTTCTGGCTTCTGCGGCACCGCCGCTGAGGGGACAGGTGCAGGAGAGGTCTGCTCTCTCCGCTGAGAGGAGACACCCTCTCCACCGCCACGGGGGACAGCAAGTACTGTATACAACATGTCCTATCACTAAAATGGAGTACAGGGGAGCTGGGATATACATTACTCAGTAATGTATATCCCAGCTCCCCTGTACCCCATTATAGTGATATGACATGTATACAGTAATGTATATCCCCCTCCCCTGTACTCCATTATAGTGATGACATGTATACAGTAATGTATATCCCCCTCCCCTGTACTCCATTATAGTGATATGACATGTATACAGGAATGTATATCCTCCATTATAGTGATGACATGTATACAGTAATGTATATCCCAGCTCCCCTGTACTCCATTATAGTGATATGACATGTATACAGTAATGTATATCCCCCCCCTCCCCTGTACTCCATTATAGTGATATGACGTGTATACAGTAATGTATATCCCCCTCCCCTGTACTCCATTATAGTGATATGACATGTATACAGTAATGTATATCCCCCCTCCCCCTGTACTCCATTATAGTGATATGACATGTATACAGTAATGTATATCCCCCCTCCCCTGTACTCCATTATAGTGATATGACATGTATACAGTAATGTATATCCCCCCTCCCCTGTACTCCATTATAGTGATATGACCTGTATACAGTAATGTATATCTCCCTCCCCTGTACTCCATTATAGTGATATGACGTGTATACAGTAATGTATATCCCCCCTCCCCTGTACTCCATTATAGTGATATGACGTGTATACAGTAATGTATATCCCCCCTCCCCTGTACTCCATTATACTGATATGACGTGTATACAGTAATGTATATCCCCCCCTCCCCTGTACTCCATTATAGTGATATGACGTGTATACAGTAATGTATATCCCCCTCCCCTGTACTCCATTATAGTGATATGACGTGTATACAGTAATGTATATCCCCCCCTCCCCTGTACTCCATTATAGTGATATGACGTGTATACAGTAATGTATATCCCCCTCCCCTGTACTCCATTATAGTGATATGACATGTATACAGTAATGTATATCCCCCCTCCCCTGTACTCCATTATAGTGATATGACATGTATACAGTAATGTATATCCCCCCCCCCCCCCCTGTACTCCATTATAGTGATATGACATGTATACAGTAATGATTACTGTATACATGTCATAGCACTATAATGGAGTACAGGGGAGGGGGGATATACATTACTGTATACATGTCATAACACTATAATGGAGTACAGGGGAGGGGGATATACATTACTGTATACACGTCATATCACTATAATGGAGTACAGGGGAGGGGGATATACATTACTGTGTACAGTTTTATATTTTGGACTATTTATTCTAAAGAAAAAAAATTGAATTTCATAAGCTTTAAGAAGGAGTGGTTGGGGGCGGGCCAGGGGTGGGGTTAGGGACGGGCCTGGGCAAGGTTGGGTGGGACAACTGGTGGAGAGTAAGCTTTGTGACCAGCTAGTAGGTCTGGACTCGAAGTTTTAACCCCTGGTTTAAACTCTCTTTCACTACAGCTTGTGAGACCGGTAGGAAGACAAATTCTAATAATCAGCCTACCAGGTGTATTGGGATATCCAAGAACTGGCTATACTTACCCATTCTAGTGCAGCTAAAATGTGTGTGAAAATGTACAAAAACTGTATGATAAGACATGTGCCAATGTAGTCAATGAAACTGAATCTGCAAGAATAAAAAACAGCACCATTGAGTAGAATGGCACAGTTCCCACCATGTACTCGGTGCAGTTGAAAGCCTGTGAAACTGCACACTAAGAATGCATTTGTTCAGCATTAGGTCTTGCCAAGCTGTAATCATCAACATGAAAGGGGGGGGGAGCGGTAAGGCAGACAAAACAGTCATGTATTTATTTATTTTTTTTTTTTAAATGCAAGGTCCCTTTAACACTTTGATGCCCATTTTGTGAGAAAGTAAATCTCTATTATTTAAATACGCACCAGTTCTAGGATTACAATCTGCTAGCCACTGGTTACATATTAAAATAGGATGTACATAGTGTTCAGAGTACACTACTAGCGTACTTCCAGTCTAAGATTGTGTTTCTGCTCCAGCAAATACTAATTTGGGAAACAGTGGAAGTGCTGCCAAGACTAACGTAGCCCTGTGTTTTCATAGAAGGCTGTATATTATTACTAGGGAGAGGAAACAGCGGCTGCTACAACCCACAATGATACAGTATATAAAGCACAGGAAAAGTCTGGAGGTTGTAGTTCCGTACCTTCACTGCTCGGGGAGGGAGATGCAAAGACGTTTATCCACTTGGTGGTGGAAGCTGTGCCACGTGGTACAATGTGGTGCCAGTATGTACCTGCAGAAAGTCAAGAAAAGTAAACATGGAATGAAAGGTTAACTGAAACAATCAAAAAGTTTTTAATTTAGAATGACTATAAGAAGCAAAATGTCAGCAGTGCCAGCAGCAAACAGAGGGCAGTTGTTAGAACCCCAGCAATGTCAGAAACAGTCTACCTGCCACTAACAAACACCTCAATTTCTCCCATCCTTTGTTTTACAATCAATCGACCTCACTGTGTATTATTACATAGGTTACGCAGCTCAGTCTCAGTCATGTGACTTATTTTCAGCTTTCGGTATTCACCATAAAATATTTTTTTTCCTCTGAATTCATAGGACACAGTCATATCAGTAGACAATTGGGTTTATTGTGCCTGCTACTGATCCGGCTGTGTCCTTCAAGGAACAAAGAAAATGATATTTTTGTACTCACTGTAAGATCTTTTTCTCAGAGTTCAATGAAGGACAAAGCCAATGGAAACCCAATGGTCTACTGATCTGTCTGTGTCCTTCAATGAATGAAAGAGATATTTGGTATAAATAGAGTAGGGCAGCACAGTGGCTAAATGGTTAGCACTTCCGCTTGGCAGTACTAGGGTCGTTGGTTCAAATCCCAGCCATGGCACCTCCTGCCTGGAGTTTGAATGCTCTCCCTGTGCCTGCGTGGGCTTCCTCCGGGTACTCTGGTTTCCTCCCACACTCCAAAGACATGCTGGTAGGTTAATTGGATCCTGTCTAAATTGGCCCTAGTATGTGTATGTATGAATGTGAGTTAGGGACCTTAGATTGTACACCCCTTGAGGGTTAGAGACTGATGTGAATGTACAATATATATGTAAAGCTCTGCGTAAATGGACGGCGTTATATAAGTACCTGAAATAAATAGTAAAAGAATTTAATGAACTGAGCCTTCTTCCCGACAGATTTTTTCATATCAGGTGTCAAATCAGATTGGCTAAGTGACCGCAGTAATACACAGCCATTAAAGGCAAACTGTACAAATCAGTACGTGGATTACAATAATAGACATATGGTAAAATAAGGAAACAGGACTTGTGTAGAACATTTCCTTAGAGTGACTAAAGGCATAAAAAAAAAAAAAAAAAAAAAAAAACACACACCTTTAGCAACCCCAATAACCTTACATAGTTGCTCCTTTACCTTTGACTACAAAATTTTCTCCACGATGACACATACGGGATAGTTAAAAGTCAGATGTGTTTAATAAACGAATTGAATTCCTTGTTACATGAAAGATGCTCTGTCCCCCTACACCTTATGTTATTGGTATATCTGCTATTAATACGGCTTTGGGGATGTATACCTATTGTTGCTCTATGCTGAATAATAATTTCCAGACTGCTGATAGTATTCTTATGTATTTATGTCATTTGTACCCCTCGTTTTTGATCGTTATAGCTCAGATTCTATTACAAAAAAAAAAAAAAAGGAAGATTGAACTACAAAAACAAACAAAATAAATAAATAAAAAATAAATAAACACACAAGCATGCAAAAAGAAAAGCAAAAAGCAAAAAACAAACAACTGTCCCACTAGCCCCCACCTTTAAACCCCTCTGACTTCAAGAGCTCAGCTGTCTTCTGTGTCCATCACTTCAGAAGGTGTCAGATGCCTGTATCCCCTGCTGCGCTCTCTGCTTCTCTCCTGGCTACTACATCAGTACAGCACACAGTAGTGATACAGGCACCAAAGGATAGAAACACCTCACTCTGCTAGGATGGCAGGCATCTAAATACAATCAAACGTCCTGAAAAAAGTCAGCTTATCCCTGGAGGACAGCGGCGTGGGTGTGCAGAACAAGTAACTGTTAAAAATGTATCTAACTCCAGAATGCTATGTTGTTCAATGAACAGATGTCTAGCATGCTTCATGATTCTCTGTTGTTCATCAGAGGTTCAACCTCTGATGAAGTGCTATTGCACGAAAGGCCTCAGGAGGAACCAGACAGTACGTGACCCTGCCGCCGAAGCCTGGAGGAAGCCCGGCGGCCATCTTAACTCTGGTCAGTGTGATACATTACTGGATGTCATTACACTCTGCATACTGCACTTTATGTGAATAAAGCTTTGAACCTACTACACTATGGGTACCTGTTTTTTGGCTCCTATATGGAGCTATTAAGCCTGCAGGTTACCCCAGCGACTCATCATCTCTAGAGGAACAGGAGCATATAGGCTGAGCACCATACCTACCTTTAAGGGGACCTCTGGATCCAACAGACAACTCACTGCAGCTTGATGACCACACCATAGGGGATAAGCTCACCTGGATTGACCTGCCCATCTACAGATACCTTGATGGTTATATCACATGCACTTTTCTTATGCGCTTCCAGTGAGTGCGCACTTTATCTATTGGTCGGCGTCAAAGGCTTGTCTGCTGTTGTTTTACCATCTTAAGGAGCTGTTCTCATATCCATCTGTATTTGAACTTTATTAGAGGACATTATTGCATACCTATTATGGCTTATCATTATATACTATAATACCATCATTCATAGCGCTACACCTCATTCTATTATTTCTAGTATAACAAGCATGCTTTACTGCATATACAGACTGATTTCACTGCTGTGGGTGTAGTAACACTTTAAAAAAAATTTCAGTCACAGATTTTCAGTCGAATGAACTGCGTAAATCATATTTACACTGTCTAACAGGTGTCAGAGTTGGACCTACTGTACTCAGAAACAGCCCCTCTCCTCCAGTACACGTTCATGTGAGGAGGAGGGTGGTCATTACTCAGCTATGCCAGCACAGACCACCAGAGTGGGAGTAAAAAAGAAAACAAAAAAAAAAAAAAAAAACACCTTTCGGAGAACAGCGCTAGAACTAGGTAATTCCAAGTATACATTTTTGCTGACAGGCTATGGGGTACTTGTAAATTAAAATGCAGGGAGTCACAGGGATAAAGCTGGTTGTATAGGCACGTGCACAAGGTATGTCCACATAGACAGTTGAACCAATCAGCAGAAAAAAATATATGTCTTCACACTTTTTTTCAATTCAAAGTACTCTTGCTGCACTGCAGTGCGCAATTAACAACTCACCTATAAGATTTCCCTTTGCCACATGAAACTCATTTTTCTCAGAGGTGATCCACACGCCACTGCTGTTAACCCCGAGGAGGCTGGGCTGACACTGCGACTGCTGAGACCAGACCATCATGCGAAGTTTGTCAGCCATTTTTTCTACAGGGGCATGTGCAGCTGTAGCAACCGTCTGCGTGGCCTGGATGAAGGTCTGGAACAAGGTGTAATGGTCAAAGACGACGTAATCTGTGATGCTGACCTGGAAAATGTCACCAGCATTAATAAGTATTACCCTTCATTCACTATAGGTTTGAATTACAATGTTTACTTAGAAAGCAACTCCAAATATCATTCTTGTATATTACAAAAAAAAAAAAAAGTCACTTTTCCTTGTGGACGTCACCACCCCGCACATTTGTGGCGGCGTCAGCAGCGGTCGGAAGAGCAGGTCTCTCTCCCAGGACGCTGAGAAGACCACGTGGGAGGCACTATTGGTCAATCATGATCCCCTGCACAGCTGGAGATGGAGTGTTCCACACACCTGATGCAGACACAATTAACACTTGGGTGGAGTTGAGGCCTATATTTATAGTTCCTCTTTAGAATGGGCTTTTCATCCTTTATTCGGCTGGTTGTCTTACACAACATATCAGGTTGGAGTTGAGCAAGATACATTTAGGTCCATTTTTTTGGCAACATATTTAGGGGTATTACCCTTTTAAATGACATTTATTTATTTCAGGTACTTATATAGCGCCATCAATTTACACAGCGCTTTTACATATATATTGTACATTCACATCAGTCCCTAACCCTCAAGGGGCATACAAATCTAAGGTCCCTAACCCTCAAGGGGTGTACAATTTAAGGTCCATAACTCACATTCATACATACACATACTAGGGACAATTTAGACAGGAGCCAATTAACCTACCAGCTTGTCTTTGGAGTGTGTGGGAGGAAACCGGAGTACCTAGAGGAAACCCAAGCAGGCACAAGGAGAACATGCAAACCCCAGGCAGGTGGTGCCATGGCTGGGATTTGAACCGGCGACCCTAGTACTGCCAGGCAGAAGTGCTAACCACTTAGCCACTGTGCTGCCCATATCATTCTCATCTTTGATTTTAGTTTGTCATGTAAGATCTATATGTGCATACACCCTGCATTTTAATCCAGATCCTAAAAAGACCTGTTAGAAAACTTCTTCCAAAAAGTAGGAGATCATCCTGGACTCCAATTTCATCCTAACTCTCAAAGTGATTGTTTTATGGCCAACTTTGTCGATGTCACACCAAATCAGTAAATGTGATGGAATTGATAATGGAGTTTTCGCGGGCATCCTCAGTATGTAATTAAATATATCTCATAGGTATTGTGCTGTGACGAAACCAGTAGTGAATTTTTTTTTTATTTTAGGTACTTATAGAGCGCCATCAATTTACGCAGCGCTTTACATATATATTGTACATTCACATCAGTCCCTAACCCTCAAGGGGTGTACAATCTAAGGTCCCTAACTTACATTCATACATAGTGAAATGGTACCATCTACAGGGAGTCTTGAGGAGGACAATTAGCACAAATGTATTTATTGCCCTTCATGACGTGACACCTCCATCCCACACACATTTCCTTAAATTTTTTGGGGATTTTGTTTTTATAGAGTAATTAAGTGTGTGGTTTCTACTCAACATCTTCCGGTGCAGTTATCCTTGTGAACAACAAAGTGTAGTGCAACAAACTAATAACTCATTTAATTAAAAAAAAAAAAGTCCCATGAAAAAAAGTATTTTATAATACCACTGTGCAATGTGTAGAAAATAAATCTCTTCTTCAGTGCCAACACAAATAGGTGAAAAACCTGCTCACTTCACTTTATGATCTCAATAGGTCATTATGCGCTCAACACATGGGCACACTTGTGTACACCCTCTGTGGTCTCCCTCCAGTTCCTCTCCCTAGCACCACTATAGTATACAGTGCCGTGAGGTGCTGGAGGAAGACCACAGAGGGTGTACACAAGTGTGTCCATAGATTGAGCGCACAATGTTAGAGCACCATCATGTTATATTAGGGTGTGTTGCGCTGACTGAAAAGGGTTTTAGATTCAGTTTTCCCATGTGGCCTCTGGTAAGCTCCAATCCAGATGCCAAGCCTAGTTTGTGATCAGAATATATGGGAGAAAGATTCTTGAATTTTAAATGCTCTGGTTTATGCGTGATATCCTCATGCCACATCTGTAATTGTATTATGTATTAGAAAAGTTTGTATTTACAAAAGTATTGGACTATGTATATAATTCAATGATGTATTGGATCATGCTCGAATATCACGTTCTTAACCACCTCCCGTCCGGCCCATGTATATAAACTGCCGGACGGTGGCAGTGCAGGGTCGGGTGGCCGTTTATAAGCTGCCTCCCCGCACCCTGCTTGTGCGGGCTCCCTCCGGACACAGTGGAACACCGATCATCGTACGGGACCTCTGTGCGAGGTCCTGATCATGTGATCACTAATTGGCCAATCAGTGATCACATGCAGAGTAGTAAGCAAGATGTCACTTCTGACATCATTGCTTACTACATGTGAAATCTGTGAATGATCACAGAGGTCACATGGTACAAGGCGATTCACAACAGCCTTGTACCATGTGACAAGCTGTGACCAAACACAGCTCACACAGTAGTTCTCAATAGCTACAAGAATGCAGCCAGAGAGGAGAAATGATTGCTTTTACAGCCTTTATGGGTGTAAAAGCAATCAGTATAGAAAAAAGAAAGCAGAAGAAAATCATCACCCCCCACAAGTAGTATAGTGTCACCATGGTGACACTGTACTGCTAGGGTGGCAGTATGTAAAAAAAAAATAACAAAAAAAAAGTTTAAAAATTATAATTTTTGGTTATAAACTAATTTGGGTTTTTTTTTTTTACTAAAAAGATAACGGAATAAATTTTGGCCAAGATTTATGATGAAATATTTGCAAAATTTTAATAAGAAAAAACACTTTTTTTCAACATTTTTGAACTTTTTCATTTACATAGCAAAAAAAAATATAAAAATCCCAGTGGTGAATAAATACCACCAAAATAAAGCTTTATCTGTCCCAAAAAAAAAGTTAAATTCATATGGGAAAAAGTGTTGCATGACTGCGCAATTGTCATTCAAAGTGTGATAGAGCTGAAAGCTGAAAATTGGCCTGGGCAAGAAGGGGGTAAAAGTGTCTGGACTGGAAGTGGTTAATTATCTAGATGGCTCTGGTTCCCCTGATGAAGATTGAGATCATTGTAATTTAAACGTGTTGGTTCTTTTTGGCAAGATCATCATCAAGAAATTAATTTGTAAACCTAACTTTTAATGGGTTAGCTTTTGTGTACAATACAGGCACCAAAAACAAAAAAAACACAACACACAACACCATAGCCTACATTTTAAAGTGGTTCTAAAAAGGCAGGTTTATCTTAGGGGGGGGAACCACAACACAAACAAACCACACACACTATGGGTGCAGCTCCCCTCTCAGCCCCCCCATCCCAATGCAGTGATGTGTGTGAGAGCTGCGTCTCTCCCGGGTCTCTTTCTCCTCATTGGCTCACACAGCAGCAGGAGCCATCAGTTTTGTAAAAGTACAGCTTATGTAGGAAGATTTGTTTCACCTATGTGTATCAGCGGAGGCTATTCACTTCACTGGGTATAAGAGGGTTTACAGCTACTTTAAAAAGGGCTTTTTCTTTTAAAAATGGTTCCAAACGCTGAAGTGATTTTCACCCCCCCAACACTTACCTGAGCCCAATCTTGATCCAGCGGCAGGCATGAGAGCAGCTGCTCTCCCTTCTTTCTTGCTCCTCATTAGCTCAGACACAGCGGCGGGAGTCCCGTTCTGTGTGTCTGGTGGGAGAAGTCTTGCTTTTCTAAAGTATCATACACTTAGACAGAAATGTATTTCATTTTGTTTTTTTTTAAGCTGTGTGACTCTTGACTCCAAAAGAGAGATAAAATGCCTACTTGCCACCAATGGTCATCTTCTCCTTGCGGCTTCTTAGACGTCACTCCAGTCCTGAACCACAGATTACCGCTGGCATCCAGGGCCCAAATGGTCTCTTGGTCACCCAGCGTCACACACACCGGTTCTAGAGCTTGCATTTCACTGTGAAAACATGAGCCATTTCACCATATAAAAGGATCACAGAAACGAGTATTGTGCAGCAGGAATGTTCACACAGCTAAATCATTATTTCATCAAATATCCACCTTCATCACACAAGAAGTAAAAGGCATAAGTGGATTGCCTTTGTTTTTGCTTAAGGTGATTTGAAAAGACATTTTTTTTTATTTTTTTATAAACGTTCTGCTCTGTGGAATGGTTTTGCACAGAGCAGCCCCGATCCTCTTCTTCTCGGGTCCCCCGCCATTGCTCCTGGCTCCGCCTCCCTGTCAAGTGTCCCCATAGCAAGCTTCTTGCTCTGGGGGTACTTGAGCGTGCTCACTCCAGGGCTGCCTCGGTGTGTCTATTGACACACAGAATGCGGTTCTGCCCTGCACCCCCCACTCTACTCATTGGCGGTTTGAGCTTATAAGGAGAAAGAGCCGCTGTTCTAGTGCACATAGCTGGATCAAGATCGGGATCAGGTAAGTATTTAGGGGAGGTTGGGAAGGAAGCTGCATGTAAAAAGGGTTTTTTTTTTACCTTAATGCACAGAATACATTGAAGAAAAAAAAAAAAAAAAACAAAAAACACTAATCAAACAAATTGCTTAACCACTTGCCTACCGGGCATTTATACCCCCTTCCTGCCCAGGCCAAATTTTCAGCTTTCAGCGCTGTTGCACTTTGAATGACAATTGAGCGGTCATGCAACACTGTAGCCATGTGAAATTTTTATCTTTTTTTCACACAAATAGAGCTTTATTTTGGTGGTATTTAATCACTGCTGGGCGTTTTTTTTTTTTATATAGCACAAAAAAATAAGTTCGTTTTTATTATACAATTTTGTAAACAGGTACTTTTTCTCCTTCACTGATGTGAGTTGACGCTGCACTGCTGGGCACAGGTGGGCAGCACGGATCATCAGGGCAGTGATAATCAGTGCCGATCACTTCTCTGATAATTGCCGGTTATGGGCAGTACTTTCCCATGTGACAGCGTGAGGAAAGTGTAGCCGATAACCGGCAACTGCATTTACTGGTGATCTGCTGTGTCATTGGACACAGCTGATCACTGGCCGTTTACCGTATCCCGTGATCAGCTGTGTCCATAGGACACAGCGAGCACCAGCGTTGCTGCGGGCGTGTTCTGGAATGACGTTCATGGACGTTGTGCCAGAACCAGACAACCGCGCTGTAGCTGTCCTTTCGCTATAGCGCGGTAGAGAACTGGTTAAAAAGGGTTTCCAGCCTATTAAAACAAGGCAATGAGGTATGTTAGCCCTAGCATAAACCAAAAAGGGTCACATTTAAAAAGACAGTTACAATCCTGCTTACCTGATAAGGTCACATTGCCAAACCTCTCCCTCTGGGGAGAAGCTGCTGACTCCTTCTCTATATAGAAGGCCACGCTGTTCAGTGAGAGCCCAGACCACATTGTTCCTGGCTGTGATCTGGGATAGCGGGCATGGGCAGTCAACCTTTATGGCTCTGGCACATGGGCGGTCCACACTGAGACCTGGGGGGGGAAAAAAAAAAAAAAAAAAATTTAGAGCAGCAATTGTATTGCCAAGGCCTACTCCACTACTCTCAGAAGCAACAGATAGAAGCAGGGTGGATAAAAATCAATGATTTAAAAAAAAAAAAAAAATATATATATATATATATATATATATATATATATATATATATATATGAATTTTTTTTATTTAAAATCGGATTTTTTTAAATAAAATGCTTTTTGAGGAAAATATATTACCATCCAAAGGTTATTCCATCATGAAATAAAGATTAGTTTTTTAATTATGTAGAATAAGGCTGTATATGTTTAATTTTTTTGGTAAATAAATTCCATGAATCCATTCACAATGTCATGCTCTTCCCGAGGTTTTTGTAAGATTATTGGGCAGTTTCTCTGCCTACAAGATATTATCACAGATGTTGGTTTACTTTTGCAGTTCTCAAAACTGAATTTGACTCAGCGGAGATCACATGCCTCTTCTTCACAGCAAAAATGTTATAACATGAACAGAGTTAAGAAAAAGACCTTCATCCTAACTTCTACAAACCTATGAATACAGAATCAACCCCTTCACTGCTAAGTTTCAAGAAGTTCAGTGAATAGAATAGAAACAATATTTTTCAGATTGTTTGGAGTGGAATAGATCTGCACAAGAAGAAAGTGAAACTAAGTGTGAGGAGGAAGGGGCTGACAGTCTAAGTTTCTTCAAATACAGTCAGGTCCATAAATATTGGGACATGGACACAATTGTAACATTTTTGGCTCTATACACCACCACAATGGATTTGAAATGAAACGAACAAGATGTGCTTTAACTGCAGAGTGTCAGCTTTAATTTGAGGGTATTTACATCCAAATCAGGTGAACGGTGTGGGAATTACAACAGTTTGCATATGTGCCTCCCACTTGTTAAGGGACCAAAAGTAATGGGACAGAATAATAATCATAAATCAAACTTTCACTTTTTAATACTTGGTTGCAAATCCTTTGCAGTCAATTACAGCCTGAAGTGTGGAACGCATAGACATCACCAGACGCTGGGTTTCATCCCTGGTGATGCTCTGCCAGGCCTCTACTGCAACTGTCTTCAGTTCCTGCTTGTTCTTGGGGCATTTTCCCTTCAGTTTTGTCTTCAGCAAGTGAAATGCATGCTCAATCGGATTCAGGTCAGGTGATTGACTTGGCCATTGCAGAACATTCCACTTCTTTCCCTTTAAAAACTCTTTGGTTGCTTTTGCAGTCTGCTTTGGGTCATTGTCCATCTGCACTGTGAAGCGTCCAATGAGTTGTGAAGCATTTGGCTGAATATGAGCAGATAATATTCCCGAAACACTTCAGAATTCATCCGGCTGCTTTGTCAGCAGTCACATCATCAATAAATACAAGAAAACCAGTTCCATTGGCAGCCATACATGCCTACGCCATGACACTACCACCACCATGCTTCACTGATGAGGTGGTATGCTTAGGATCATGAGCAGTTCCTTTCCTTCTCCATACTCTTCTCTTCCCATCACTCTGGTACAAGTTGATCTTGGTCTCATCTGTCCATAGGATGTTGTTCCAGAACTGTGAAGGCTTTTTTAGATGTCGTTTGGCAAACTCTAATCTGGCCTTCCTGTTTTTGAGGCTCACCAATGGTTTCCATCTTGTGGTGAACCCTCTGTATTCACTCTGGTGAAGTCTTCTCTTGATTGGTGACTTTGACACACATACACCTACCTCCTGGAGAGTGTTCTTGATCTGGCCAACTGTTGTGAAGGGTGTTTTCTTCACCAGAGAAAGAATTCTTCGCTCATCCACCACAGTTGTTTTCCGTGGTCTTCCGGTTCTTTTGGCGTTGCTGAGCTCACCGGTGCGTTCCTTCTTTTTAAGGATGTTCCAAAAGGTTGTTTTGGCCACGCCTAATGTTTTTGCTATCTCTCTGATGGGTTTGTTTTGTTTTTTTCAGCCTAATGATGGCTTGCTTCACTGATAGTGACAGCTCTTTGGATCTCATCTTGAGAGTTGACAGCAACAGATTCCAAATGCAAATAGCACACTTGAAATGAACTCTGGACCTTTTATCTGCTCATTGTAATTGGGATAATGAGGGAATAAACACACACCTGGCCATGGAACAGCTGAGAAGCCAATTGTCCCATTACTTTTGGCCCCTTAACAAGTGGGAGGCACATATGCAAACTGTTGTAATTCCTACCCCGTTCACCTGATTTGGATGTAAATACCCTCAAATTAAAGCTGAAAGTCTGCAGTGAAAGCACATCTTGTTCATTTCATTTCAAATCCATTGTGGTGGTGTATAGAGCCAAAAATGTTAGAATTGTGTCGATGTCCCAATATTTATGGACCTGACTGTATATATATTTTGTTTAGCCAAATTAGTTAACAAACATGGATGTTTAAGCAAATCACATATGCTGGAATGTTATTGTTTCAGTTGAATAAACCTATTTAAATTGTTATTATTAAGGTAATGATTATTTTTCTCCTTCCTAAGTACAACAGAAAAGTTGTCCAAATATGAATGATTAACCTATTAGACTGGGGATAAAAAAAACTAATATGAAAAGTTATTCTAAAAATCTTCATCTACTTGTATATTAAAGTTATACCAGCAAGAATTAGTCTTTATGTAGAAAACTAGGATTTAAATCAAGCCTTACTGACTAGTGATTTAAATCAGCTTGATTTAAATCAAATCCACCCTGGATAGAAGGTCTTTCAGCCATTGCACCAAAACAATCAGATGCGTAAAATACCATTTTTACACCCAGATACATGTCTAACATACACCACCACATTCCCTGGTCAGTGCAAAGCAGGATTTATTCTACGAGTTGGCTACACAGTAATAGCTGACCACACTCACCTGTTTGTAAGTATAAATCTCCATTTGTTCGGATGATCCAGGCAGTGTCATCGCTCAGAGCAACAAATGAGGCTTGAGGTAAGGCCTCATACCAGTGCCTCTTCCCTTTTATTGTTACTTTCCCACACGCAAAGGCCTTGTCTGTCTTCTGCTCTATTTTCCAAAGTAGATTTCCTGTAGATGTGAAACAGATCCTACTTATTGCTGCTGCAAATGGAGTCAGATTCTAGAGAAGTTGCTGTCATCAGAGGCATACTAAAGAAGAACTGATGGCTTATTCCATAAGGAATTATATGCAGTAAATCGTTGCAACTAATCAGACTTTAGTTTACTGTAACAAGGCCAGTGAAAGGTGAATTCTAAAGGAGTATTAGAATTTCTTTTTTTTCGCTGTTCACCAGAAGCAAAAATGTTTTGCTTTTCCAATTTCAGGGCAAGCACAAGGTTTGACTTAATCATCACCCTTCCCAAATATACACTTACCTTTCCATTGCTTCTGCACCGCTTAGTTCAGCACTGAGAACTTGAAGGAATACCCGGTACATACAGGTATGGAGAATTACTAATCAGCAGCTGAATGGCTTTACCTGTTCAGGTATGGCATGCACGGCCACTTGCAGTGCTCACAAGGTACAGGGTTATAAAAAAAAAAAAAAAAAAAAAAAAAAAAAAAAAAAAAAAAAGAGTATATGGGCCTCAAAGAGAAAAATTATGAGGGGACCTTACTTGTGTATATTGGTGTCTGGGCAGAATAAATTGTAATCTACTGTGCCAAGCCAAAGGTTTATATCTAGCAAGTGTTGGTCATTACTCAGGACGTTCAGCCCTGGAGACAAATGGTGGGGGAAATTGCATGCGATTTGGACAGGAGTCACACTGCATTTCTGTTCAAATGGAATATGATCCTTTGCAGTGCGATTCGATCCCATTCATTTTGTATGGGCTCAAATTGCACCGCAAAAGGTGTCGGAGAGTACTTGATCAAAAGGATCAGTGCTCATACTTGCGCATGTGTACACACACACACACACACACACACACACACACACACACACACACACAAAAAAGTAGTTGCATCCCTAATATATAGTTAAATAATAGGCAGCACAGTGGCTAAATGGTTAGCACTTCCGCTTGGCAGTACTAGGGTCGTTGGTTAAATTCCCAACCACAGCACCTTCTGCCTGGCGTTTGCATGTTCTCCCTGTGCCTGTGTGGGTTTACTCTGAGTACTGCGGTTTCCCCCCACACTCCAAAGACATGCTGGTAGGTGAATTGTCTCCTGTCTAAATTGTCCCTAGTACATGTATGTATGAATGCGAGTTAGGGACCTGAGATTGTACGCCCCTTGAGGGTTAGGGACCTTAGATTGTACGCCCCTTGAGGGTTAGGGACCTGAGATTGTACGCCCCTTGAGGGTTAGGGACCTTAGATTGTACGCCCCTTGAGGGTTAGGGACCTTAGATTGTACGCCCCTTGAGGGTTAGGGACCTTAGATTGTACGCCCCTTGAGGGTTAGGGACCTTAGATTGTACGCCCCTTGAGGGTTAGGGACCTTAGATTGTACACCCCTTGAGGGTTAGGGACTGATGTGAATGTACAATATATATGTAAAGCTCTGCGTAAATGGACGGCGTTATATAAGTACCTGAAATAAATAGTAATAGATTTTAATGAACTGAGCCTTCTTCCTGACAGATGTTTTCATAGCAGGTGTCAAATCAGATTGGCTAAGTGACCGCAGTAATACACAGCCATTAAAAGGCAAACTGTACAAATCAGTACGTGGACTACAGTGATAGAAATATGGTAAAATAAGCAAACTTGCGCATAGGTAGGTGGTAGGTGAATTGGCTCCTGTCTAAATTGGCCCTAGTACATATGAATGTGAGTTAGGGACCTTAGATTGTACATCCCTTGAGGGCCAGGGACTGATGTTAATGTACAATATATATGTAAAGCGCTGCGTAAATTGACAGCGGTATATAAGTACCTGAAATAAAATAAATAAATCAATCATGGGAAACCAAAAGTATCCAGACAGAGGTAACAACTTCTTCTACAAAAAGGGAAAATAAATAAATAAATAAAACCTGCCCATAATCTTGGTATCAATGGAACTTTTCTTTTTTTGCATTTTTCTGAATACTGTCTGAGCATTTCTCTCTCTTTTTTATAGTGCAAGAAGTGCGTGGTTAACATTTCTCCCTCTGGGAGTGTATTGGTAGCCCTGACCTTTTGTAGTGATAGGTGGATATGAAAGCTGCAGAAAATATACAATTTATTGTGGTTACAAACACAAAGTTGCAGAAGAACATTTTGGAATGCAGACTTCCACGGCTTGGCTACTACCTTAGATGGGATATGGAGTCCTATTGGAATCCTTCTGTCTCCATGCCCACTACTCCCAAGAATCTCTGGATAAAAGCCATTAACACTTCTGCATCCAAAAGTGCACACAGATTCAATGTGGCTTTCAGGGGTGCCTCTACTTGCCCCGCAGCACAATGTAACATGTTTTAGTGAGGTTTTAACGTGTGTTGAAGGTGATTAGAAGAATATGGGGCTTCCATTACTGTGTTATATCTGGGAAAAAAAAAGGTAGTTGTCCAGCTACTTTATGAGCTACTGAACAAGAACCATATACATAATCAGGAATATCACAAGTCCTTATCTGTGTACTTTCCAGGTCCGTGGCTAAAGGTATTAAATGCTAAAGGGTCACAATAACAGCCAGGCAATTAGCATTTTCAAAACAAGAGGCAAGCAAAGGGCAAAAGGCAGCCATGTCGTTTCCCTATTAACAGTCTGTTTTTCATACTCGTCCTGAACTGAAAATAAATAAAAATCCCAAATCAGCAAGATTGTCAGATGGAGGACAGTGGGTGAAATTTACTAAAACTGGAGCATAAAAAAAAATCTGGTGCAGCTCTGCATAGTAAGCAGCTTCCAGGTTTTATTGCCAAAGCGTAAAAGTGATATTAAAAGGCAGAGTAAAAAAAAACAAAGAAAGACAAGAAAAAAAAAATTCATATTTTCCTTCTCTATAAAGTGGTTTTGTACAAAGCAGCCCCAATCCTCTTCTTCTTGGGTCGCCTGCCAGTGCTCCTGGTCCCCTGCCCCCAAAGCAAGCAGCTTGCTAGGGGCACCCAAGCAGGCTAGCTCCTGAGCTGCTGTGTCCATTCACACATGGAGCATGGTTCAGCCCTGCCTCCTGTTCTCTCCTCACTGGCTGAGATTGACAGTAGTGAGAGCCAATGGCTCCTGCTGCTGTCTCTGCCAATAAGGAGGGCGAGTCCCCAGAGAGCTGTTGCTCTTGTGCACATCGCTGGATCGAGTTTGGGCTCCGATAAGTATTAGTGGAGCTGTAGCACACAGAAGATTTTTTACGTTCATGCATAGATGCACTTTAAAAAACGGAGCTTCACCCTACATACCAAGAATAACCAATTGAGTAGCGAATACCTCGTCCTTCAATGTTTGGGATTTTTAAACTCAAAAAAAGGTACTTTCAGAAAAAAGAAAATCAAGTCACCAAGGTGATTACGTCATCAGGGGTGTCCAATTGACTCCTGGGATAGCAGTGTCATCAATCCCAGTAGTAAACTTGTGAACATTATTGTGCGCTGCGTAGTATAGTTACTGTGCAAGCAGCACAAAATACAGAAAGAGAACAGCAGATGGCTTCAGATGCCCACAGATGATACGGCCACCGCCAGTCTAAAGCAGACCATAGACGGGCCGATAAACAAAAAAACAAACAAAAAAAAAAACAAAAACAAAAATTGGTCGGCCCCGTTGCCGGATGCTGCCACCCCTGTCCACGAAAAACACCCGATTTTGCGGATTTTCCAGCGTGACCAATAAAAATAAATGAGGAGATTTGCGAAAAATGGCCAACGGGCTGGCCCCACTAACGGCGTGATTATCAGCCGATTTTTCATGCGGACGGACGAAAATTTGGCCCATAAAAGACCTGTCTATGGCCTGCATTACTGGAGGAACATGTTGGGTGAGGATTTTACACATACACTCCACAATGATGACCAATACCAAAAAGGAGTTAAGTGTTCCTTAATGATTCTAAAAACATTTATTTAAAAAATTAGGCTGGTAGACTGTAGCTCCTCTTTAATTGAACAATCTGAAATGATAGGCAGCTTTATGCCCACCCATCATTCTCATGACAATAACTGACCATTTATTCATAGTATTATGGGTACATAACCGATAGCTAAAGACCAACTAAAGTATTAGGACTTTCAAACTTCTAGGAAAATACATGTACACAGAAGGTTGTTTAAGAATTGTTATTGATCCAATAGTTGGCAAATCTAAAAAAAAAAAAAGTTGATTCGTATCCCTTCCTTCCAGGATCAATGCGGAGTGCCAGCAGGAGATGTGGCGATTGGTGCCCTAGTACATTGTCCATGCATGAGCTCATCTGCACGGTCAGTGTGTGGACAGAGTGATCTGCCAGAATGCCTTTATAAGTTCAGCACTGGATTACATCATTCCTGTGAGATCCAGCGATGTGAGACATGCAGGTAAATAATAAAAGATTCACACACCCCCACAAAATATAGCAAAAACATTAAAGTCAAATATACCTGTTGCAAAATATGGGTTTCTATTGTTTGATGGGTTATGATTGTTTTAACTTCATCCCAATACCTCATTTGGAATATGCAGTTCAGTTTTGGGCACCAATTCACAAAAAGAACATTGGGGAACTGGAGAAAGTACAGAGAAGGGCAACTAAACTGATAAGAGGCATGGGGGAGATCAGCTATGAGGAAAGATTAGAGGAACTGAATTTATTCTCTCTTGAGAAGAGGAGATTAAGGGGGATATGATCTCCATGTATAATACATAAGGGGGGATATGATCTCCATGTATAATACATAAGGGGGGATATGATCACCATGTATAATACATAAGGGGGGATATGATCTCCATGTATAATACATAAGGGGGGGGATATGATCTCCATGTATAATACATAAGGGGGGGGATATGATCTCCATGTATAATACATAAGGGGGGATATGATCACCATGTATAATACATAAGGGGGATGTGATCTCCATGTGTAATACATAAGGGGGGGGATATGATCTCCATGTATAATACATAAGGGGGGGGATATGATCTCCATGTATAATACATATGGGGGGGGGATATGATCTCCATGTATAATACATATGGGGGGGGGGATATGATCTCCATGTATAATACATATGGGGGGGGATATGATCTCCATGTATAATACATATGGGGGGGGATATGATCACCATGTATAATACATATGGGGGGGGATATGATCACCATGTATAATACATATGGGGGGGATATGATCACCATGTATAATACATATGGGGGGGATATGATCACCATGTATAATACATAAGGGGGGGGATATGATCTCCATGTATAATACATAAGGGGGGGGGTATGATCTCCATGTATAATACATAAGGGGGGATATGATCACCATGTATAATACATAAGGGGGATGTGATCTCCATGTATAATACATAAGGGGGGATATGATCTCCATGTATAATACATATGGGGGGGGATATGATCACCATGTATAATACATAAGGGGGGGGATATGATCTCCATGTATAATACATAAGGGGGGGGATATGATCTCCATGTATAATACATAAGGGGGGGGATATGATCTCCATGTATAATACATAAGGGGGGGGATATGATCTCCATGTATAATACATAAGGGGGGGGATATGATCTCCATGTATAATACATAAGGGGGGGGATATGATCTCCATGTATAATACATATGGGGGGGGGATATGATCTCCATGTATAATACATATGGGGGGGGGATATGATCTCCATGTATAATACATATGGGGGGGGGATATGATCTCCATGTATAATACATATGGGGGGGGATATGATCACCATGTATAATACATATGGGGGGGGATATGATCACCATGTATAATACATAAGGGGGGGGATATGATCACCATGTATAATACATATGGGGGGGATATGATCACCATGTATAATACATAAGGGGGGATATGATCTCCATGTATAATACATAAGGGGGGGGATATGATCTCCATGTATAATACATAAGGGGGGATATGATCTCCATGTATAATACATAAGGGGGGATATGATCTCCATATATAATACATAAGGGGGGATATGATCTCCATGTATAATACATAAGGGGGGATATGATCACCATGTATAATACATAAGGGGGGATATGATCTCCAGGTATAAATACATCAGTGGTTCATATAGAGAACTCGGTGTAGAGTCATTCACCCGGAGGCCATCATAGAGGACAAGGGGGCACTCTTTACGTCTGGAGGAAAAGAAATGTAATCTCCAAACACGGAAAGGTTTCTTCACAGTAAGAGCTGTGAAAATGTAGAATAGACTCCCTCAAGAGTTGGTTCTGTCCAGCTCAGTATATTGCTTCAAAAAAGTCCTGGATTCTTTCTTGGATACACAGAATATAACTGGATACTAACATTTATAGGGAACGTTGATCCAGGGAATATCCGATTGCCTCTCGGGGGATCAGGAAGGAATCTTTTCCCCTGCAGGAGCAAATTGGATCGTGCTTTGATGGGTTTTTTGCCTTCCTCTGGATCAACTGTTGGTATAGGATTATAACTTTTTTTTTTTTCCTATGGTTGAACTGGATGGACTTTTGTCTTTTTTCAGCCAGACTAACTATGTAACTAGCAAATATAAAGACAGGCATGATTTTTTTTTTGTTTACACAAAAAACAGTCCATTTTTAAATTAGCTTTTAGAGAAGAAATAAAGTAATAAACCTGACCAAATGAACACAAGCTAGTATTATTCTCCTTCTGTTTCTTGATATGGAGATGATTCATTTGTAACAAGGATAATAATGAGAAGGAAGTCACACAGCATGTATCAAGTATGAATGTCATGAATATATAGTTACAATGTATCTATATTGCCAACCTGAGGGAGAGACTGCCACCTGCTGGACGGTATCCTCGAACTTCTGCCAGCGTAGGCCGGCTCCAGGCAGGGAACTGCAGTACAAAGACCCTTTGTAGTCCAAACACCAGATGTATTTCTCTGACACAACCAAGCTGAGGATGCCACTGGTCGGCCCAAAATAAACCATCCAACTCTCTGCAAGCTGACAACAACAAATGACACAAGTCAAAAAAAAAAAAAAAACACAACATAATCTACACAAGTGATAGTCAACTTTCTTCATATAGGAGGTCTCAAGTGTGGCTCTAGACATCACCCAAGCTTCTCCCATCCTATGGAACTCCCTACCCCAATCTCTCTGGCTGTCTCCTAATCTATCCACCTTTAAATGATCCCTGAAAACCTCTCTTTAAAAAAACCTATCCTGCTTCTACCAAGTAAACCGCCATTTATTTCCTCCATCAGCTCATCTCCCCCCACTGCTATAACCTTTTGTATCACTCAACCCTTCCGCCTAGATTGTAAGTTCTAACGAGCCGGGCCCTCTGTATTCTCTTGCACCAAATTGCATTGTAACTGTAATGTCTACCTTCATTTTGTAAAGCGCTGTGCAAACTGTTGGCACTAAATAAATCCTGTATTATAATAATAACCATAGATCAGCACACATTGTTCAGTACACGTAATGCTACAAAAAGCTGCAGACATGTAGCATAAGACTGCAGACATAATAACCAGGGATGGTTGGAGACTGCAGACATAATAACCAGGGATGGTTGGAGACTGCAGACATAATAACCAGGGATGGTTGGAGACTGCAGACATAATAACCAGGGATGGTTGGAGACTGCAGACATAATAACCAGGGATGGTTGGAGACTGCAGACATAATAACCAGGGATGGTTGGAGACTGCAGACATAATAACCAGGGATGGTTGGAGACTGCAGACATAATAACCAGGGATGGTTGGAGACTGCAGACATAATAACCAGGGATGGTTGGAGACTGCAGACATAATAACCAGGGATGGTTGGAGACTGCAGACATAATAACCAGGGATGGTTGGAGACTGCAGACATAATAACCAGGGATGGTTGGAGACTGCAGACATAATAACCAGGGATGGTTGGAGACTGCAGACCTAAAACCAGGGATGGTTGGAGACTGCAGACCTATAACCAGGGATGGTTGGAGACTGCAGACCTATAACCAGGGATGGTTGGAGACTGCAGACCTATAACCAGGGATGGTTGGAGACTGCAGACCTATAACCAGGGATGGTTGGAGACTGCAGACCTATAACCAGGGATGGTTGGAGACTGCAGACCTATAACACGGGATGGTTGGAGACTGCAGACCTATAACACGGGATGGTTGGAGACTGCAGACATATAACACGGGATGGTTGGAGACTGCAGACATATAACATGGGATGGTTGGAGACTGCAGACATATAACATGGGATGGTTGGAGACTGCAGTCATAAGAGTTGTTGGAGACTGGAGACATGCTTACAGAGACAGTAAGGACTTGTTCACACCATGGTGCAGAGACGTCAGTATTTCTGCACGCGCCTGTAAGGAAACAACAAACTCAATTGTTCTCTATGTGCCCTGTTCACGCCACAAGTCTAGTTTTACGTGAAGATTTTTTTTCTGCGCAGGAATCTGCAACATGTATAAACTTTGAAGTGCTCAGGAAAACTGATGTCCAAGTGAAATCAGCACGTCAGTTTCAAATCAGTTTTTCTGCACATATGGTGTGAATATGGCCTATAACAGGAGACAGTATTCAAAACATGTTGCACATCTCTACGATACATGCCCATTTGTTATGTTCGGTCTCTTTACAGAAGCCCTTTAAAAACTCAGGCAGAGTTGATAACACGGCTTGGGGTTTCAGTGCAGCAGAGGCAGCATTATAAGCAAAATTAGGAACTCGCTGCCAAAAAGCCATATGCATCTTCAACTAGAAGTAGAAATCACAAAATTCCCCTAAAACACATTGCGCTAGTCTCACCTGCTCGGATTTCACTAACATGCTTTCTTCCTGCATGGACCGAGTGAGATCTTGCGAGACTGCTATTTCTGCCACGCTGGCGTCTGAGGAAGAGTGAGGGATGCGGTGGCCATAGATATCCTCCTCGTCGCTGGATGCCAGCGCTTGATCTTGGTCATGTCTCTCCAGCTTGATGGATTTGATAACCTGTAGAGGGTCACTGGTAAAGGTGTATGCGCTTTCACTCATGCTAGCCCCAATAGAACTTGGGGGGATGTGGCACTGGGTGGTTGACACTCGTGTGTCCTCAAGTGTTTCAGTGGTATCAGTCTGAGAATCCAAGGATTTTCTTCCCTCCGTGACACCGATGAAGTAGCACAGTTCCCCAGAGCCTGCGCTGGTAGTCTCCCTTAGTGGATGAGGCTCAGATACAGTGTGGAGTTCCTCCTCCAGCTCAGAACTTGTAGTCAAAGTTTCCACTTCCTTAACAGTTTCTGTATTCGCTGCAGTATCTGCTGTGGCATCGGTAATCTGTTCATTTACTAGCTCCTTCTCCTCTCCACTGCATGAGTTGTTTTCACTGTCAATGTCAGGAATCGGAGAGTCAGAAGTCTGCGTGGCACTGAAGATGCCCGATGTGCTATCCTCAGCTTGGCCCTTACCACTTGCCAGGCTCTCCTGTGAGCTCAAGTGGTCAGCACTGCTGCCAGGTAGACTCGCCATGCCGGAAAAAAACATATGACGTTAGAGACAGTGGGCTGTCCACACTGGGAGTACTCTCAAGTGAACCAACATGGCTCCTGGACCCATTATCTGAAAATAAAATAAAAATAATAAAATGTATATATACACTCTGTATATGTATACAGTACATTCATAAAGTATTCAGACCCCTTTCACTTTTTTCAAATCTGTTATGTTGCAGCCTGATACTACGGTTTAAACCTGATGGTCACTCTAACTGAGCTCCAGAGATCCTGTGTGAGATAGGACACAGTTCCAGGACAACCAGCACTGCAGCCTTCCACCGATCTGGGCTTTATGGCAGAGTAGCTAGACAGAAGCCCCTCCTCAGTACAAAACACATGAAAGCCCGCTTGGAGTTTGAGAGTCCTTCAAGTACTTTTTTGCAGACGGGAGGAACAAGATTCTCAGCTCTGATGAACTGGCCAAGATTGAATGGTTTGGCCTCAATACTAAAAAAAACAATATGTCTGGAGGAAACCAGAGACCGCTCATCACCTGGCCAATACCACCCAAGCACTGAAGCATGGTGGTGGCAGCATGAGCTGTGTGGGTGTTTTTCAGCAGCAGGAACTAGGAGACTGGTCAAGGTTGGGGGAAAGCTGAATGGTGCAAAGTACAAAGATATCCTCAATGAAAACCTGTCCCACAGTGCTCAGACTGGGCCAAAGGTTCATCTTCCAACATGACAACCATCCTAATCTGAATGTCCTAGAGTGGCCCAGCCAGAGCCCTGACTTGAAATCTATTCTCTGGAGAGACAGGAAAATGGCTGTCCACCGACGGTCCCTAACCAACCTGACTGAGCTTGAGAGGATTTGCAAAGAATGGTAGAAAATCCCCCTCATCCAGGTGTGCAAAGCTTGTGACATCATACGGTCACCCTCTTCTTGTATCCAATGCTCTATCACTCATATCTTCAATCTCTCCTCATCTATTGGCACCTTGCCCCTAAAGCATGCACAGATCACTCCCATACTTAAAAAGCCCTCACTGGACCCCACCAATATGAGCAACTTAAGACCCATCTTCCTGCTCTCATTCCCCTCTAAACTTTTAGAACACTTGATCTACAATAGTCTTCGCTCTTACCTCACAGAAAACAACCTTCTTGACCCCTTACAGTCTGGCTTTCACTCGCAGCACTCAACAGAAACTGCCCTACTATAACCCACTAATGATTTACTAACTGCTAAAACCAATGGCCACTGCTCCGGACTCATCCCAACCAATGGCCACTGCTCCGGACTCATCCCAACCAATGGCCACTGCTCCGGACTCATCCCAACCAATGGCCACTGCTACGGACTCATCCCAACCAATGGCCACTTCTACGGACTCATCCCAACCAATGGCCACTGCTCCGGACTATTACTACTAGACTTCTCTACAGGCTTTGATACTGTTGACCACCCACTCCTCCTCAAACTGCATTGCCTTGGTCTCTGAGATTTTGTTCTATCCTGGTTCTCCTCCTAGCCATCATAGCGCTCCTCTCCTTTCTGTAGGGGTCTCCCCAAGGCTCTGTTCTTGGACCCCTGCTCTTTATCTACCTTTATCTCTGCTCCTCTCATGATCTCCTGCTCTCAAGCTACTTCATCTCCCTCTCCCATACTAGTCTCCAGGACCATGTCAGAGCCGCTCCCATCCTCAATCTGTCTAGCTATCCCCTATTCTGGCAACCTTTAGGCGACCTGTGAAAATTTCTCTCTTCGGAAAAGCCTATCACGCCTCCAATTAAACATTAACACTTCCATCAGCTCATCCCGTTATAACCTTTTGTACCATTTACCCCACCCTATTAATATTTTAAACTCTTAGGAGCAGGGCTCCTCTCCTGCCCCCTCCTTGCACACACTGCCCCCCTCCCCCTACAAAGAGGGCCGGTCTCTTATATACGATCACAAAGGGGACCAATAGTTTAGATTTCAGCCAAGTGTATCCTGAATGTTTGGTTTTAGTACCCAAATTTTCATTTCGGTGCACCGCTACACTATTCAAACAATAAGCATCAACGCTGCAAAAAGTTACATTTATCTTTAAAGAAGAATTCCCCCCCCCCCCCCCCCCGAACAAAGCACGTGCCTCAGTTTTTCACCAACATTCATGCATTAGTTTTTAGCAGACCAATAACTACGTTAAAATGGAATTCCAGTCAAATTCTATCTGAACCTAAACCAACTCCCACCCCCATTACAAGCCTAATATATCTATCTTGTAAAAGCAAATATATGTTTACTTGTCTATTCTGAAGCCGCTCCAGGCCAATCACATGAGTGAATCCCAGTGCCGGCTTCAGTGTAGATGGACAGCAGACAATGGCTGCCCCATAGCAGGTCTATGGGTGATGTCATTACCCAGGCTCTGCCTCTTCTCTACACTGAAGCCAGTGATGGGACCTAATCATGTGACCAGACCGGAGCAGCTTCAGAATAGGCAAGTACAGACCTCTTTTCTTTTACAGGGTAGAGAGAACGGTCTAAAAATGGAGGTGGGAGTAGGTTTACTTAGAATTTGAGTGGAAGTCCGCTTTAAGTTTCACTTTTTGATAAAGACTTCCAAACCCGCTCCACAGTTGTGCCCGAGGACAACTGGAGGCTGTAGAGGGGGTGTAGGATCCCGATAAGTCCTAAAAGGCCTACTATTCACCAATATCTGGTGAGTGCAGTTTATGTTGGTTTAGCACTGGTGGATGGTGGAAGCACAGATCACAGAAGGATAACCAAAATTTTTTGTTGAAGTACTCTGGAATTTGGGACAAAGGATTTATTTTTATAGTTTTTTTTGGACACTAAAATATAAATTTTAATATTATTTCATATGTAATTAATTTGGTTTGGATATTGGTTTGCGCTGTTTATTTTGGTTTTTATTATTTGGTGTTTTACACTAGTGCACAGCAGCGTCTCATACCTTCGGTTGGAGATTATCCTGTGGCACAGGAGTGTGTATTTTAAAATCGCTTTACGTTTCTTAAACTGTAGTCTTTCCAAGTCTCCCTAGTAACACGTTGTATACGCATGCAACCTTAGGATTATAAACGCCTTGAGAGCAAGGACTGATTTAAATGTACAATATAACATATTAAAACCTGTAATACAATAAATCCCAAGATTCTCATTTATTTTCCCCACTGGGTTGATGAAATTTGATATTCTGTATACACTTGGGCGACTGAATGGATAGAGAGATACACTTGGGCACAAAATTAGTGGCGCAGTAGTTTTCGAATGTGTGATTATCTAATTCCCCATCTAGTACACTTGGCATGCATGACCTTGATTGGTAGATTGGATACTGTACAGTTCTGATGCAAGTTTCACCCAGAGTAACAGCACCACCTTTTGGTGTGTAAAGATTATGACACTTAGATGAATTCCACTAAGAAATATTGCACAAAAATGATCCAACAACAATCACTATGCCCCACCATTTTAGGCTGTAAACTCCCACGAGGGTCCTCCTAACTGTATTATAAATGTACGATCTCTCTCTATTGTAAAACTCTGTGCAAACTGTTGGCACTGTGGGAATATTATTAACCACTTGCCCTCTAGATGATTTACCACCCCCCCCTTCCTGACCAGGCCATTTTTTGTTTTACAGCCCTGCGTTACTTTAACGGACAATTGTGTGGTCATGCAACGCTGCACCTGCACATTTAAAAAAAAAAAAATTTGTCAGAAATTTAGGCTAAAATGTATTCTGCTACATTTCTTTGCTAGAAGAAAAAAAAAAAAATCCCAATACGTATAAATTAACTGGTTTACGTAAAAGTTATAGCGTTTACAAAATGGTGGTATATATACACTGGGATTTTTTATTTTATACTAGTAATGGCGGAAATCAGAGACTTATATCGGGACTGCAGCAGGCATTCTGACACTGGGAGGGGGAACTGACTTGCTGTCAATGACACCAATACAGTGATCAGTGCTAATAAAAAAGCACTGACATTGTACTAATGGCACTGGGCAGCAAGGGGTTAACTAAGCACACTGCTTTGCGTGGCACAGCCATGCAAACCAGTGTGCAGGAGCTGACAGGGGAGAGAACTGCATTGGTTTACAAAAACACGCTCTCCCCCCCCTCCTCCTTCCCCAGAGATGCTCAGCAATCACCACGCGCTGGCGAGTAATCCTCAGCCGGGACCCGGTGACAGAGCCAAGGCTGCGAATGGCTATATATTTACTGTGACAGTGTGGTGATCTATCACAACATAAAAAAAGGATATTTTGCCCAGGATTCTCACCAAGGCAGGTTGAGGAGCTCCAGGGTGCTGGTTTAAGTTGGAGGAAACGGTTTTCAGTTTCCTGAGTTTGTTTATTATTTATTTCAGGTACTTATATAGTGCCGTCAATTTACACAGCGCTTTACATATATATTGTACATTCACATCAGTCCCTAACCCTCAAGGGGCGTACAATCTAAGGTCCCTAACTCACATTCATACATACTAGGGACAATTTAGACAGGAGCCAATTCACCTACCAGCATGTCTTTGGAGTGTGGGAGGAAACCAGAGTACCCGGAGGAAACCCACGCAGGCACAGGGAGATCATGCAACCTCCAGGCAGGAGGTGCTGTAGCTGGGATTCGAACCAACGACCCTAGTACTGCCAGGCGGAAGTGCTAACCATTTAGCCACTGTGCAAAATTCTGTTTGGGACCTGGAGCTTGGAGATTTCACAGTGATCTGGGTGGGAGGAAATCTCCAATCCTGGGACCAGGTTTTGGGAATGGCCAGGAGACTGATTGGGCAGGTGTGTGTGGGTCTCTTAGAGTAGTCTGACAGAGCAGACAGGGCCCAAGCCGGTGAGCTGGAGAAGCAGGAATGCTGTGAAAGGGCGCTAACCAAGTTACAGCGTTTTGTATGTGAATGGTCAAGAGGACGGAGGCATAAAGCCTGAGCAGAAGTGCTGCTAAAGAGCAAGGAAGATGAATCTCTTTTGCATTGATGGTGGATACCCGTCCCGCCCTGCAGCAGTATTTCTGCTATAGGGCGGACGGGAAGTGGTTAATAATAATAAGCTAGTCAAAGCTGTTGAAGTTTGGAACAAACACACACACACCACACTTTACGTCTATTAACATGTTAACATTGGGCATCTGCTTGAATGTACATTTACATATGTGTAAATGCGTCACTTGTGGCTCGAAGCCCAGACGCTGCTATATAAAAATCCTGAATTTTGTAGAAAAGGTTAATCTCTACAATACAGTGCCCAAGACAGCATAAGCCCGGTATTAATTGAACTTTTGGGATTAATCTTCTTGTGATTGCTTTTCCTTAAGGCAACCCTGTCGCTAATTGAGAATGCAAAGTAAAACATTCAACACGTTTACATGGCATTCTAAATTAGAGACAGGTTTGCTTTAAAGCCTAACTCAAGCCAAACTTATTTACATGTGAATAGAGCAGGGAAGGGTTAAAGAATCTGTCAGGTTTTTTATTGTGTCATGTAACCCTATTGGGGAGATTTTCCTCACGTTCAAAATTAATTTTCAGCTGCCCCCCTTAATTACTAATAGGCATGATTTAAATAAATCCAGTACAGATTTTGACCTCCATACTTTGCACTGCAAATGTGGTGGTCAGGACTCAGCACAACGGACTGGTATGGTATTGCCTGTGCCTCTGCTATATCATGCTGACTGACAGGAATGCTTTCACAGAGCACAAACTTCTATTGTATCACAGAAGCTGAAAGACAGCGTTGTTAAGGTTCAGAACTGCTCTGCTATTATTCATATGTTGAGATGAGGCCAAAACACAGAGTAATGCAGGCTATAGATGGGGAGAAAACCGGCCGATTTTTCTTTAAAAAAAAAAAAACGAAAAATCAGTCGTTCAAGTGGCCGACATTACCAGGAACGGTAAAAAAACAAAAACAAACAAACAATCGGCCGATTTTAGCGGTTGCAACAATGTATCTATTTGTATCCATTTTGGATACAAATAGATACATTGTTGCAACCTCTATAAATGTCAAAGAATCCTCCTCCTCCGATTTTTTTAATCGGTAAAAAAGATCGGCCGATTTGCCCATAATTGCCGTGAAAATCAGCCGATCTTTTTCCAACTTTACCAATAACAAAAAAAAAAGGAAAAAAAAACCCCACCCCTTAACTCATTCCCCTTTCAGAAACGTTTATGCTACATGCCTTTTTTTTTAGTTGCATGCAATAAAAACTCTCACAAAAACCCATAAACCTGAAATTTAGGCATCTCAATTTTTGCATTATTAAATTGGTCCAGCTTGGATCAATGTAAGTATATACGTATAAAACACACCACAGCACAAACATTTTTTAAATAAAATATACTGAAAAAAAGTCCAAATAAAGTCCAAAGAAAATTTCAAAGTATATAAATTGTGCTCAGTCCCAATTGGGATTGAGCACAATTTATAGAACTTTGAAATTTTCTTTGGACTTTATTTCAGTATATTTATTTTAAACATTTTGCGCTGTGGAGTGTTTATATTTGATTGTTTTCTTCTTTTCTTGAACAGCATTTAAATTTAGATTGAAGTTTATATATTTTTTTTTTTTCTGTGGCACAAGTTTATTTTTATTTTTTAAGTATATACGTGCCATACCGGTTGACTCCCTGTGGAAACTGTAAAATCATTGTGGTAGGCATCGCTTCTACAGTGAGCAAGCTTCCAGGTCTCGTGCAAAGCGGCTGCCCTTCTACTTAATGAACACAGAGGTCGCTCGCTTGGCATAGGTGCAACTGCAAGAACTCTTTTTGCATTTTCTCAGTGAATGCAACGTTTCCCTGATTGGATGGGGTGGAGATTGTGAGATCACGATCTCCGCTTTGTCCGATCAAGGAACGTTTAGCAGTCAATGAAAAAAATGCAGTGTTTGCTTTATGGTGACCATGCTGATCAAGCGACCTCCTGTGTTCACAGTGCAGTCACTCAGCATGGCACCCAGAAGCTAGTGGTGATCAGTGTAGTAGCGGTGCCTACTAGTGATTTCCATTTTCTACAGGGATTCCCACAGGTGTGGCACATACATGCTTTCATTAGTCTAAGATGGACCAATGTAATTATGTAAAAATTGCCACACCTAAACTTTAGATTTAACATTACAATATATAAAATTGTATTTTGTTATAAAATATAGTTTCCCTGAACTTTGTATGCTTTTACCTGTGCCCATCCTGTACCTTCTTTGTAGGAACTGTCTATGAAGGGGTACACAATGCAGCAGCAGAATCACCGTTTGACACTGATAAATACAGCAGAATGTGGTGGTTCAGCAATCTGAAGACCAACTCAAGTTTTCAGGAAAAGGCAATGCCTGAGGCAGCCAATTTGGGTTCCCCTAAGCTCATGTTAACCGTGTCGGTCCACTAAATGACAGCTGACTGGTTGGTTTGGATTACTATTACTTGCACATCACCCGTGTACTTTACCTTGTCTTTTCTTTTTCTTCTTCTTCACTTTAATGGCCTTCACCACCAGTTCTTGGTCAAATTCTTCATTGCTGATAGTGCTGAACCTCTGTGACAATGACCGCTGTGTTCGTACGGTGTTACGGGGAGAGTGGGTATCCTGTTCTGTCAGGCTGTAATCACAATCCAGAGAGTTCTGTGTTCCCCTGGTCACCTCTACAGGCAGAGAGCTTCTCCTGACTTTAAGCTCAATCCCTGACTCTTGGCCATCTTCTTCGGTCTCCAAAGGGCAAAGCTGGATCCTCTCTGTACGCACTGTCTGGGCAGCAGGCATCTGGTTCATGGTTTCTTCAGGCGCCAACAGATTGTGGGTGTCAATCTCCAGCTTTGAGTGTTTGGCAGGCACACGGAAGGGGCTATGTATGGATGCTATAAAAACAAAATGAAATCGCAAAATTAAAAGCGCTTTCAAAACGTTATATGGACATTGCATGAAAATAAATTTAAAAAATGCAAACGCCTGCTTATCTTGCACCCCTACCTTCAATATGTACTGTTATTTGTATAGCATACAAAGACGTTTTAACCACTTGACAACTGGGCTATAGCCGAATGACGGCTACAGTGTTGTCCAGTTCTGGGAGGGTATCATATGATGTCCTCCCAGAACGCACCCTCCCACGTGTCCCCTGGGGCGCACACCCAGCGATCTCCATGACCGCTTTATCCTATGGACACAGCTGATCATGTGATATGGTAAAAGGCCAACCACAGCGGCCTTTTACCACGTGATCAGCCGTGTCCAATGACACCGTAGATCACCGGTAAATGCAGTTGCCGGTTATCGGCTGCACTTTCCTTACGCTGTCACAGCATGACTGGCAATTTTCAGAGGAAGGATCGGCACCGATCATCAGGGCACTTGTGATCAGTGCTCTGATGATCAGTGTCAGCAGTGCCGCTAGTGCCCAGCAGCACCACCCATCAGTACCCATCATTGTTGCACATCAGTGCTGCCTATCCATGCAGCCTTATCAGTGCACATCAGTGAAGGAGAAAAAATGACCTGTTTGCAAAATTTTATAATAGAAACAAAAGAAAACCTTTTTTTCTTCAAATTTGCTTTTTTTTTTGTTTATAGCGCAAAAAAAATAAACCACCCAGCGGCGATTATCACCAAAAGAAAGCTCTATGTGTATGAAAAGAAATAAAAATTTCATATGGGTACAATGTTGCATGACCGCGCAAAAATCATTCAAAGTGCGACATCGCTGAAAACTGAAAATTGGCCTGGGCAGGAAGGGGGTATAAGTGCCCTGTGGGCAAGTGGTTAAACAACTCCTGTATGTGCCTCCACCCTTGTGATAACTGTTTGGGAAGACCATTTTCTGTTCCGGCATGACTGTGACCCTGTGCTCCATAGAAGACATGGTTTGATAGGTTTGGGGAGAAGGTACTGCACAGAGCCCTAACCTCAATCCCACTGAACACCTTTGGGAGCACCAAGGGGGTAAATCCATGATAGCCTGCGCTCACAGAAAGTAGAGCCCAAGTAGAGTTCAATTTCTGTGTTGCCTAGGGCAGCACAGCAAACTACACCACTGCCTCTACTGTTTGTGGAGTCCAAGTCATTTTCTATGAGCAATATTACATACAATACAAGTTTCCAAGTCTGTGTTGAACTCCCACACCAAATATTACAGAAATGAGAGTAAAACAAAATGCAACTACATACCAGAAACAGCTCCTTCCGGCATGTCAGATATTCGAATTATCTCTCGGTCCCCTTTCAGGAGGAATATTTCATTGTTTATGCATGAGACACAAACAATATCCCCAGCACTTTCAAGACCTCCGATGACAGCCTAAAAAGAATTATGTCAAGAATGAGGGCTGGTTATATCAACAGTTTATTGCAACCAGGTGTCAATCACTGCTTTTTTAGTCTTTCCCAAGACAGAACTACAGAACACCTCTCTCGGTCTTCATCTTCATAACATTGAGGGGGCGAGTGCTTTTTAAATTTACAGGAGGTATCCTGGGCAGGGATAATTAAGCCTGAAATAACACTGCACGGTGCACAGGACAGCACTAGATTTCTGGCAGGATCAGCAGGTTTTTTATTGTTGTACAGATAAAACACTTTCAATGGCATATTTAACCTCTGACTTCTCTATAGCCAAAAGATGACTACAGCACAGCCGTTCAGTTCTGGGATGGTGTCTATAGACATCCTCCCGCTGTGTGTTCTGTGATCATGGTAAAGGGCCAATTACAGCGGCCCTCTGCCATGTGATCAGCTGCATCCAATCAGCAGTTGAGAGAAGAGCCAGTAACTGGCAATTCCGACAGGGGACATTTACACTGATAATCCAGGCACTGATCATCAGTGCCCACTTGTGTCTATCAGTGAAGGAGAAAAATTACTTATTTGCAAAATTTTATAACAGAAACAAAAATATTTTTTCAAAATTTGTCTTTTTTTCATTTGTTTAGTAAAAAATAAAAAACCCAGTGGTGATTAAATACCACCAAAAGAAAGGGCCTTCTCAAAGAAAAAAAAAAAATTGTCGTATGTGTACACAGTGTCATTGCACACAATGCAATATGTATGTGCACACAATGGTCATTCAAACTGTGACAATGCCGAAAGCTGAAAACTGGCCGGGCAGAAAGGGTGTGAAAGTGCCTAATATTGGAGTGGTTAAGAGACCAAAAGGTGAGCAAAAAAAAAGAAGAAGCTTGTTTTTGAAGTTTATGAAGACTTTAAATAAGTAAAACAACAAAACTAGCAGATTAGGTCCATTTGGCTCGGATTCCCAATCTGCACAGTTCATTCCACTTATCTCTAACACACTACGTTCAGTCACCTGATTGACTGTATCGATGATGTAGATGCTGTACTCATCCCAGCTCAGAACCCATCCTTCATGTAGAAAACACGACAAGAGGCCCAAGTGCTTCTCACAGTTTTTATAGCTGTCCTGGTTCGTCGTATCCGCCCGAGGATACAGCTCAAAGGATTCCAGTTCATGAGATAAAATTTCCTTTAATATAAAGGTAGAGTGGACGGATCCTTGGACATCAGCCTTCCAGAGTCTCAGCCCGGGTCGACCAGCAAATAATGTTAGGTCGCTTTGCTTGCAGAGTCCAGGTATAAAACAGGCACCATATCTGCCATTTCTAAAAAAGATAAAAGGGAAGAGGATATAAAACCACAAATAAAACTCACCCACCAATAAGCACCTTTTAATACCTTAAATGAAATTGGTACTGATATTTAAATACACTTGCTAAATAGCAGCATGAGTGGTATTAAATCCAAAAATGTAATATATTGCAGCTTACCGACCATTAGATGTAGTGGCTGCATTATCTCTTTTTTTTTTTCCCAGCTCCCCCCCTCTTTTTCTACCTAGTGATCTGGCCAGTAACACATTCTGTAATAGAGCTTCCCCACCCTGGATAAAGGAGCACCTTTGCACAACAGCATTGCCAGTCTGGGGTGGGGGTTTTGGGCGTACTAGAAGATACAAAAACTAATAAATTGAAGCCAAAGTCCAACTCACACTGCAGTTACAGCAACAGCTTTCTTTTACATTTGTATGTGCGTATATGTGTGTGGGGGGGGTATTTTTATGCTTGGGTGTGACTTTAATTTTTTAAAATTACTTTTTTTTCAACATATAGGAGGCATACATCCCTTATGTGATGATTTTTTGGTGACAGGATCGCTTTATAATACCCTGCATGTCTCCCCTGTAATGCAGGCTGGAGATGGAGGGGGTACAACAGCCTGCAGATCATCAGTAGTCAGTACGCTTGTGTTAACATCCTAGCCATGCAGTATGGCAGAGGCAGGAGTATCACAAAGTAGCTAAAACAGACTTGCAATTCATTTGGAAAGTACAGACAGATCCTTTTATTTTAAGTTGTCCCTCCAGTTTTTCATGTGAAGTGTAACAGATCATGAAAGAAAAGTGTTTAAACTGGGGCTCCTAGCGGAAAAAAAAAAAAAAATCCTGTAGAAAGTGAAGTTATTTAATGTGGAGAACTACTTACGATTTTCTAGGCTGGTTTCCCACTTGCTTGACAGACTTCTCCTCTGTATAGAAGAGCAGACATCTCTGAGTGGTGGACACTAGCAAGATTTTGTGGCTGTAATCTAGCTGGACTATTGAGGACAGCTCCTCCAGTATGAGGCTGGAGTTACAAGAGCCCTGGGGAGAAGAGAAAAAAAAAAAAGAAGAAGGTTTACAGGAAGGATCAGTAAAAGAACTTAAGACAAAAAACAAAGCGAAGCCATGATGTCCGTTTCCTTGAAAAGTGTGAGAGCACACCTTGTCAAAGTCCAAATCAGACTGAATGATCTTCCCGCGATTATCTCCAGAGAACAACTTCATTCCATTGGGGCTCCAAGCTAGGGCGGTGATGCTGCTCTTGTGAACGCCAAATACATCAAACCTCCGTAACTGCAATGCAAAAATAGTAATCAGCTGTAAAAAAGATGTTAATGCCAAGGACTGCACCAATTCCAGGAGATTGGTAGCCAATAGATCTATAAAACACACAAAAAGAAAAACAAAAAATAATAAAACACCGTACTTATGGCAAACGTAAAATAATGAGAGAAGAAAAAAAATTAATAAGTTCACCTTTTTACAAAATATAAATAAATGCACATCTTTTTGCAGCTAAAAAAAAAATAAAATCTGTATTTATTTTGTTTATTAAGAGCCTGTAAAGCACTACACCTGCGATCAGCAGGGCTCATGCAGACTGTCAGTGTAGCTATCTGCTCATACCCAGGGGCGGACTGACCATTTGGAAACTTGGGCACTGCCCGAGGGCCCAGGTTCAGTAGGGGGGACCCATGAGATGCCCCTGGTACCTTTTTCATAGGCTTTTTTGAGTTTGGGCAAGGACACAGGGGCCCCATGATCCCCTATTGCCCGGGGGCCCCATGAGTTGTCAGTCCGCCCCTGCTCATACCTTATACAAGCAGGCAGTTACAAAATGACAGGGACTATCAATGAACTACCTAGAGCGCTCACCAGTGCTCTGGTAGTTCACTGAAAACTACAAGCAGTCAGCCACAAAGGCTGATGGTACTTGTAGTTTTACCATTCACACAACAAGCTCGCTGCTGTCACTAGAGGCAATGGATCAGGAAGAGGCTGTGGCAGTGGGAACATGTTACATGTTCCACCCTAAAAATGGGTAGAACATATAACATATTCCCAAAGGTGAACTTATCCTTTAAAAGCTCAGTTTTAAGCACTTTCAGTGAATCAAATAAGAAAAGTGCCAAAAGAAAATACAAGAAATATGAGCTGCAAACCTAAAACCCTAACCAAGGTGTATAGATAATATAAATAAATATAGGAATGCGCTAAATAATAATTCAATCAAAAAAAATCAAATCAACTTACTAGTGCCAGTATAACAAAAAAAAAAGTGTCAAAGTCCAAACAAAATGTCACTCTGAAAATTGTGAATAAAATAACACCGTGATCATAATCCACCACCAGAAGAAATGAACTCACCAGAGCTATATGCTGATCAAATTATAAATCAGCATAAGCATTGTTGCTCTGGGAGCGATGGTAATCGGGTATATCCAGACTTTAGGAGCAATAATCTGCAGCAACAGGGGATATCCAGACTCTAGGAGTGATACTCTGCACCACCACCAAGTCAGCATATGAGGGAACCTCTTATCTGATCGTCTCTCTCCACCATACTTGCAGTAACCACACTCCGGGATAAAGAAAAGGCATGATGGTGTAGCGTGTGTTTTTAAACCATTAACATTTATTCATAAGCAAATAAACACTCACAAACAAGGTGTCCCGGCCGACACCAGCATAAATAACTCCGCATGGATCGCAATAATGGACGAGCCCCGCATACCGCGGATAATACCAGGGAGCATCCTGACGTCACATCTATCCAGGCTCCGCCCTAAGTGTTTCGTCACAAAGACGTCCTCACGAAGTGGCCTAAGCTTAGGTCTGGTGTCGTCCTAAGCCGCTCCGTGAGGACGTCTTTGACATTTTGTTTGGACTTTTACACATGGTCATTTTCTGTTATACTGGCACTATTAAGTTGATTTGATTTTTTTGATTGAATTATTATTTAGCGCATTCCTATATTTATTTAAGCTCTTACAGCAGCTGATTTATTACTTTACTGAGTGTGGAGATTCTTTATCTTTTAATTCTTGCCTATGTATCAGCTTAAGCCAGTGCCATGCCAGGTTTCAGGGTGGTTCCTTTCTCTTGTAGCATTCTCTAGTCCTCGCATACAAAGGTGACTCCAGAGTTGCGTGTATCAAGACCCCAAAGCCTAGGATGGCGAGGCACTACCCTGCTCCTCCCTTCTCCAAACTAATAGACTGCTCTGTCCACCATTAACTCTCTTCTGAAAGTTCAGGGAAGCTACACAGAGAATGGGAGCCAGCAGTACTCAAAGTTGTAAACTGCATGTGCTGGAGCAAGAATAAAAAAAAAAAAAAAAAAAGGAGAAGAAGAAATAGCTAAGTGGGGAAGCCTTGTAGAACTGTGCTGATCCTGGGGAGGATATCTGAGAGTTTAATGCTACCCGATATAGATTATAATCGCTTCCTAGCCATAAACCTAATCTATTCCTACACAAAAGTCCCCTAACACCCCTCAAACTTTACCTTTGCCAAACCCTTAAAACATCTAAAATGCCGAGTTAAAGTTAACTGCATCCCAAAGACAGTGCTAGA